GGTGCTATCTCCATTTTCCTTTGGGCACAATAGTCTAAATGAAAACCTAGCCTGAAATCTGAAATGAAAACAAGGGCACAACACTCTAGGCTACAAGGAAAATAAAGGACAAGTTTGTAAAATTCTCAAACCATTTCTCCTGGACTGCTGCATTGTGTGTTCTTGCTGCACACACTGTGTTGAAAGCCAAGAGAAGCTGCAATTGGCAGCACATTTTGGGACAGAAGCTCAACCTAGCTGTCCAGTAAAGAAAAGAGCTTGAGAAGAGCAAGCCTGACTGTGGAAAAGATTCTTGGAAAACGGAACGCTTTCCCGCAGTGCTATGAAAAGGGAAAGAAACAATCCAAGACATTCACATGTATGTGATCCCCTTTTCTGTGTTGCACAAGTTCTACATCACATTAATTCCAAATTCATCTTACTTCTAAGACCTATGACTTCCCAAGATTTAGACACTCCATCATTAGCTACACACAGCTGGCCTTCCCTTGTTTTTCTTTGAAAGCAATACTGGAAAGACAAGAAATCTGCAAATGTAAGACCTTAGAGTACAGAGCTGTGCTCGAGTGTGAGTTCTAGAGGCAGGGAATAGGCTCTGATTGTATTTTACCCTCAGCAGTGACCATACACAGCAGCAACCATGGTGATTTGTGTGATACTGTGCAGAGGTCAAGACTTGTTGTCTTGGATTAATATGGCAAAGTTAGCATGTTTAAAGAGACTCGGGATCCAGCCTCTTTTGGTTTTCTTCCTGTGTCAATAAACAGCGGGAGAAATGAACCAGCCAGCAGTTTCTTTGCAGAGAGGCCCTTTGCTCCAGTGTGAAAGTGCTGGACTGGCAAAGGAGGAGGGACGTGGGAGAGAGCTGAGCTGCTGTGTTGGATTTGCGTCCAAACTGCAGCAAGAGTAGCAGTTGAATTCTTTTCTTTTAATCCTATCTGCAGCCTGCGGTTTTCACCTGGAGCCGGACAAGAACACCAACAGGCCTGGTGCCAAGAGCACAGCCTGGGGAGCCACCGCACCTTCCCACCCCGAGCGGTCGGGAGAGCAGCGCTGTCCCGCAGAGGCTGCATTTCTCCCTCCTCATGCACGGCTTTGCCTTCCCACACGTGTGGGCTGGCTCTGCCTGACGCTGGCAGGCTCCTCATTCAACACTTCCTAATGCTTCCGGGGAAAGTCTGGATAACGCTTTGCTTCTGTGTGAGGAAGAGATGGCATGCGGGGCGAGTGGGAGGGATGAGGCCCGGGGGAGGTGAGCAGCAGGGGAAAGTTGCAGGTTGCCAGAGATAAAAGTTATACTGTAGTGAAGCAGAAGCTAAACGAGACAGTGGTTTTGGCATCGGCACAGGAGGAAGAAAGAGCTGCTCTGTGACTGTGGCCGAGCCCGGTTTGGCCTGGGAGTGAAGTGGCCAGTGCTGGCTCGGGGCGCACGGGGCTCGGCCGTGGGGCAAGCGGAGCCGAACGGAGATCGGACAAAGGGAGAAACGACAAATGGACGTGCGGACAAACGGTCCCGGCGCTTCAGCGGCAGCAGCGGCAGCAGTGACTGCGGACTCTCTGCGTCTCTTGTTCTAGTTCCTTCTCTCCCTCTCTCACTGTCTTGCACCTTCTCCCAGTCTCCCTTTCCTCTGCCCACCTTTCCCAGTCTCTCTGCCCACCTTCCAGGCCAGGCCTCGCCTCTGGCCCGCTCTGGCTCTGGACAAGGCTGTGCCCCTCACCAGCCATGGGGTCCCACCACGCTGCTTTCTTCACCCGGCCCTTGCCGTACTGCCTGTGGCACTGCTGGCCGGGCATCAGTAGCTGGGTGTTGGGAAGCATCGTCATCCCTTGGGCTGGCTGGCTGTCACGACTCTGGCCCCAGCTCCAGCCTCATCCCTGGCCCCGGTTTTGGCTCTTCTTCCTTTTCCTCCACTGCGGGTTCCCCGGCCCAAGCACTGCCACTCGGCAGCATGGCTGCCGGCCCCGAGCCACCGGTGCCCCTTTCAGATGGGCATGCCCGGCCTGGGCTGATTTGGGGGGCCGTAGGGGGGCTGGGTGGGCACCGCTCCTGGACCCAGCTCGAACGCTGACAGCCGCGTTTGGCCGGCAGGCCAGGAGCGGGAGGTCCTGCAGGAGCGACACCGGCTGGGTACACTGCTGGAGCACGGCGGCTTTGGCAGCGTCTGCTCGGGGACGTGCCCGGCGGATGGAGCCCCGGTGAGTGGGGAGGCTGGCGGGGGGCGGAGGAGCAGGAGAGCAGAGGAGGAGGAGGAGGTGGAGGAGGATGGGACTAGGCAGAGCGGGCGGCAAGCTCAGCCCACTGGTCTCCTTGGCTAGCAGGTGGCCATCGAATGTGTGTCGCGGGATAGCATCAGTTATTAGGGTGAGCTAGTGAGGAAGCGGGGCCAGCGGCAGAAACCAGGGCGTGATGGGCGGGGTAAAGCGAGGCCCGGGATGGTGGAAGCCACCAGGACACCTCGAGGGAGAGCAGGGTGGGGTCAGCGGAGGGCACAGAGCATCCCAGGATGGGTGAGGGGTTCCAGACCCATGACACGTCATCAGCCCCACTGAGGGCATCGTGGTCTTACTGAAGCCCTATGGCACCCACGCACCCCTGAAGACGGAGCTGCTGGACAAGGCATGCCCTGGGTTCCATGGTGGTGTTTAGCTCCTGGATTGGTTTGAGCTCCACAACAACTTCTTGTTGGTGATGAAGAACCCGAGCAGCCCCAGGACCTCTTTGATTTCATTGTGGTGTGTGGTTCCTGTCAGAAGAGGTGGTGCAGGGGCTGCTCCACCAAGTGCTGCAGGCCGTGTGGCACTGCAGCAGCTGTGAGGTGCTGCACAGGGACATCAAGCCTGACAACATCCTCCTCCACCTGGCCACCAGACAGGCCAAACTGATTGACTTGGGCTGTGGCACCTACCTGCAAGTCCAGGCACAGTTTGCAGGTGAGCCTACGCAGGGCTATGCACCCGGTCCCGGCAGCTCATGGCCCAACCTCTCATGGCCCAGCCTGGGTGTGGCACTGGAGATTCCCCCTGTTGCTGGCAGTCATGGGTACACCTATGAGCCACAGAGATCTGCTGGTAATTGACAGCAGGAAAGAAGGAAACTTGAGGAGCATCATTCCCTGTTTTCTCACTGCTGAACAAGTTTTCCTCTCCCTCATAAAGTCAAAATGCAGTTTTTCTGTGCATTAATAGCAGCTTATCGCACCTGCTGAGCTGAGAGGCTTTTTGCCCTGCTGCTGTGCTATGGGCCAAGATAGTGGCATTACCTAGCATGGATATACAGAGAGGGACCTAAAGCAAATGACTTTGTGCCACTTTGTCTCAAAGGTCAAAACTCTCAGCAGACACAGATGGAAGAGACTGACGTGCTCCCTGTTTGCTGTGTTGATGCACACCTGACTGGCACAGCTTTCCCTGATGGAGAATAACAACAAGGGACAGTTCCCTCACACCCATGCAGCCCAGAGATCTGCAGGTCATCATCAGCCCCTGGCTTTGTAAGTGACCAGTTCTGCTGGGATGGAAGCCAACCACCAAATCCTGCATGACTTCAGTGGCGGCAGCAGCAGCAGCAGCAGCAGCAGTCCCTGCATCTGGTCCCCAGGTCTGGGGCTGGGCTGGACAGAGGATGCACACGGCACACTGTTCCTGAAGAATGTGACTTTGGAAACAAGCACCCACCACTGTCCCCTGTTGTTTGCAGTAAGGTCACACCAGCCTGAGTCACTTGGCAGCCCTCAATGCCACGTGGGACAGCAGATGACAGGCTCTGGCCTCCAGGACCAAACAGAGGGGGGAACTCGCTCTCCAGATGGAGCTTCCAGATTGAAAAAGCTGCAGTGAGCAGCCACCACTAAGGGCAGACAAATGAGGCTCTCCTGCACTTTAGCTGTGCCAGCTACAAAGCCCTGGGGAGCAGCTGCCGAGTCGTGGGACAAAAGAAAGCAGAGAAAGTGGGATAAACCCAGTCAAGCCCAGAGACTTTTCATGATTGCTGAGCCCCAGATGGCCCCCAAGAGTGGCGTCAACCACCAGTCCTTCTGAGCTGACAAAGAGCAGGTCCAGTGGGTGCCTTCCTTCGTTGGCCAGGCACCTCCCAGGCTGTTTTCTCTCCACTCTCCTGTACTGCCAGCAGACGTGCCCACTTTCTTGGTTCCACTTGCAGAGCCTCATACCTCTTAGCCATGGCCACCAGGGAAGCGGGAGCAGTCCCAGAGGAGATGTGCCATCTCCACCAGGCAGGAACCACAAGCCTCTGTGTGCACAGCTGAAAGGCTGTATCCCCACAGGATGTTTTGGCTGCCCTGCTCTTCATAGCCTTTTGGCTGGAAATGCAATTGCACTTTCTTCCTCAAGCAGAAGTCCACGGCTGGGCAAAAACTTGGCCGCTGGAATGTAATCCAAAGGCAGTGGAGGCTGCACTTGCTAAAGGAAGAGCACTCCCAAATCCAAACCACACCAGAAGGTCCATAGGAAGGACATTTCATCTTTAAGAAAGAATGGACAATTCAGAAGGGGAACATACAGCGGTATTCCCTGGGAGACAAGGAAGGGAATCTTCCAACTGGCTTGAGGGTTTCTAGGATTTTATTCTGAGTCTCGCTGTGAGCTGGCATTGGAGAAGGTAATCCTGAAGCGTTCCTGGTCATCTTCTCTGCTTCATCAATTGCTTCCCTGCAAGTTTCCTTCATTTTCATTTGCAAAGCACCTGGAGTGGAGATTTATGTGGTGGGGGCCCTTGTGATCTGTAGAAGGAATAGCAGAAGTACTAACAGTCATAAAAACAGCAGCAGTAGGAAAGCAGCCACACAGCCAATCCATTTCTCTGGAGTATTTGGTCTCCAGAGACTGGTGACAAGGCAGGAGTCTAAAGGCAATCTAGGAAGCCATCTGCTCTGTTCAGTTTGGCCAGACCAGCACACACACGTTGACTGGGCCATTTGCTGGGTGGCAGCCTTCTGCTGCTCAGGAAACAATCCCTGCTTTTGCCTTTACTGCCCAGGGAAGGAAGCTCAGGCAAAGCCCTCCCACTCCCAGCTGCCCTCACAAAATGAATGTCCCAAGTGCTCCCTGGCTGCTTGCAAGCACCACTATGGCTTCTGTAGGGGGTCCAAAGTGTGTGTGTGACCCCAGAGGGAGGAGGAACATGTGGTACAGCTCATTCTGAAGCACGCACACTAGAATACCCTGCTCCATTTGACAAGGAGTGCACAGGACATCCTCAGCAGCTTCAGGCACCCCCTTAGCAGCCTGCCAGCCAGCCCTCTCCCACAGCTCCAGCCTGGCTCTGCAGGTGCCTTCCTGTGAGACCTCCCTGCTTCTGAGAGACAGCTCTGGCCTTCCCATTCTGTTCAGGCCAGCAAGGCCATTCCTGCCTTCCTCAGATCTGCACTCTGGTAGCCTCTCACCTGAAAGGCCCTCTCCCTCTCAGAGCACAAAGCTCTCTCTGGCACTGTTTGCCAAGGGCCAGCTAAGAGACAAACACCCCCCCGAGACAGTCAGTGTCCAGAGAAGCTGTGCCCATTAGGAGCCCAGAGGAGTCCAAAACAACATGCAAACTCTCTGTCCACACCCTTTGCCTCTTGATTGGCTCTGCTTCATATCTCTTCTTGGTAGCTTGAATGATGGCAACTTCCTGCTTCATCTCAGGCCGCTATTTCTCCTGCTCCCTCTGCACCTCTGCCAGGAAGTGTTCCCATTGCTCCAGTGTCTGCAAACGCTTTTGTTTCAGCTGTCTCTCCTGATGAGAGGAATAGAGATTTCCAGATGAAGTCCCAGCCATGCTCTACTCTCTTCCACATATCTTTATTTTCCTCATAAAAATAGTTATTGGATGAAAAAAGAGACATCCATCAGCTTGTTCCATGGATAAAGAAACAGAGATAGTTGGAACTTCATGTTCATTACAGACACACTCGGTTGTATGCACAAATATGATGAGATGAAAAAGCATAACTGGGCAGACTGGAGTTACTTGCAACTATGTGTTTCAGCAGTCTCCATATTCTAGATCAGCCTCACTTATGTGGACTTTCAGTCCTCTCCTTTTATTTTTGCTTGCCTGTAAGCTACAACTCTTTCAAATATCCTTGTGATTACAAGGCTTTTCATTTCAAAATGTAATTATTTCAAACCTCAGTTTATTTTTTTAAGATAATGCAGAGTGTAGATTCTTAGTAATTTTTGGCATGGTTAACATTAAATCAAACACCTGGGAAATATATCCTGTTTGTAGTCTGTAACAGTCTGCCAAACTGACTGCCCCTCTGCCAGAACACTTTAAAGATATGTTAAGGTTAGAGAATGTTTCTAGCTTAGCTGAAGTGAAAAAAAGCAAATTAAGATCTGAAGTGTCAATGTCTCATATAAGTAAATGATCTGGCTCCCTCTGCTGACTACAGAGAGACAAGTCAGATTTTTAAAATGAAAACTAAAAAAAAAAAAGAGAAAGGAGAGTTACAGAACAAAAATATGAATAAAATCCAGCAATTAAGAAACAACACAACTATATTAGGACAATAGAAGTCCACAGTTTGTAAAGATTGATTTAACCAGCACTTTTGTTAGCTGAATAATCGTTCACTCACTTTACTCATGTAAGCAAGATTTTTAAAGTTGACAGAATAATGCGAAGATGAGGAGGAGCATTTCTGGTGTGGCACATTTGGATCCAGCCTGCAACCCTTGGTAATTCAGTAAAAAGGCTTTTGTCTCAGTGAAACTGAGTCCACTGATCATGATTCTATAGCCATCTCTGTTCCCAGAGGCATTCGTTTTGGTTGTAGCAGTCACTGCTTTTCCAAACTTACACTAGGACATGAGCGCTTGAACTCTTTGTGGTGGACAATGTCACATCTTTTTTATCATCAGAGATGAGTGCATCTCTCTCTGGAGGAAAAGAAAGGTTAAGCCTCTGACCGAGTATACTGAATTCAAGTGATAAATCCCTCACTCCAAGGGAATGAAATGACAGAGGCAACTGGCATGTAGTCACCCCCTGCATAGTCAGTGCAGGCAGTGCACAGATCTGTCAACAAGGAATTCAAACGAAGATTAAACATAGTGTGTGTGACACTAAAGATTTGGATTCATATCCAAAGCAGTCTAGGAATGACTGACTCATTATTGAATAGCAGTGTTAAGAACTACTGGGGTGTTTGTATCACGAGACATGAGCAAATGTGATTTTGAGCTGAGAGGCTGAATTTGCAGAACTATACACATGATAAACAAGAGGCTATGGAAAAAAGCCCCCACAACATGACACTGAAATTATTCAGATTCATTATGCATATATTTTGCTTCCATACAATGACTACTAAAAGATATGTGTGCATCTGTATTATACAGATAGCCTATAAAAGTTTTAATTTCAGGCTACTAGTTCTTAGCTGTCTTGCAACCGATCTACAAAAATCTAATTGTCTTATTTACTTTTCTCCTTTTACCACAGATCACAGATTCACTTCCATTTTAATTTTTCAACGAATAATTATACTGCCTGACATCTTAATGAATAAACATTGCTAGAATAATAAAGTTAATGAGATCCATCCTGCTAATTTCCTGTCATGCTTTATGTTTCACACATAAACATGTATTCTACTTAGAATTATCTTTTCCTCTCTTTGCTCTAATTAAGTGCTCCAGAAGGGAACCAGTTTGGTGTATCCAAATCCAACACTTCCTGCCTGTGGATGATTTTATTTTATTTCTGTTCTTGTTTTTCCTTAAAACAAGTACCAGAGGAGGCTGTTACTAACAAAAAATCCCCACAAAAACACACACAAAATGCCCAAAACACGCCCCAAAAACAAAGAACAGAATAAAACAAAACTCCAGAACAGAATAAAATACGAGGCACTTCATACCAGTCCAGGAACTAATTTCCCCTCATGATTTTCTTTCTGTACATCAATTACAGAATAAGGTTTTAGGTTAAAGGCAGCAAATGGCATACCACTTGGAAAGAAAACAGATTTTTCCATCTCATAACTAAAAATATATATAGTGATTACACAGCAGCCTTAAGGAATGGCCAGTGCCATTTCTAACATGATGATTCCTTGCCACAGCTTTACTTTGAACAGAATTTTACTAATTCACTTTTATGGACTTGGGTTTGACATCCAAGAAAAAGGCTTAATGACTTTAGCCTACAGAGAGAATAAGACAAAAGGATTGGACATTTCCTGATGTTTTTTGCTTCCCCCTAGACTCAGGACAGAAAGCCTAAGGCAGAGCAGCAGAGATGCTTAAAAAACCAAAAGAAACCCAACCTGAAGTGCTTAAAGTCTGTACAGTAAAACTACAGAAGGGACACTCTTGTTTTCCTTTATTTAAATATAAAACTACACGGGCAACAGCAGATATTTTTACTTTCACATAGAAACAAGAAGTGTAAAAAAACAGTGTTTCGGAGTTTAGACTTGAAAATATTTGATTAGTAACAGTTTCCAGCTCGTTCAGTAGGAAAAGCTAAATACCATATCTCTGTTTATTGTCTTTTATTCTTTTACTGGTTCAAACAAAGACCTTTCTCATTTACTCACTTGTGCTGTGGGTTTCTTTGCTCTGTACATCTCGCTTTCCTTTTGAGAAAAACAGAATGTCCCGTTCCGCTATAAAAGGCAGGGTCAGGGACAGATATTTTCGGTAGATTTCTTGGATGTTTTGGGTTAGGTGTCCTTCTTTAGTTCTGGTTTACCTGTGGAATTTTTACCCATTAGTTGCAAGAAAAAAAAGAAACCTGACTGTGGGTACTTGGTGGGTATTTGAGAAACACAAAAAGTTCGGCTGGGCCTGGGAGGGAAAAGGGGCAGAAAAAGGGAAGGGTGGGAACAGTTTGGCGGGCTTCTTCAGCTTCGGAGAAGGACACTTGGGGCGTGGAGATGTTGCGGTTTAGAGAAGGGAATTTGCCATCACCCAGACAGAGCTGCTGCTGCTTCTTCCCTCTTCGTTGGTGGCCTCGCACCCCTGTCCTGCCGGGACGTGTGGCAGTGCCAGCCACCGCTGCAGAGCTGCTGATAGCCCTCAGCCACCGGCCCGGGATCTCCGCTCATCCCGGCCGTTCCAGCTGAGTGTTGCTCAGAGCCCTGCAGGAGCACCGGCACTGCCCGCCCGAGGGGGTTTGTGAAGCAAAGCCTCTCCTCCATCCCTTCCCGTCTCAGCCGAGAAAGCTGTCACGGGGCCCCTGGTTCTGATTTGTTGTTAACGCCGTAGTTACTGTTTGTTTGTTTGCCTTGTTCTATGTACTAGTAAAGAACTGTTACACCTATCGCCAGACCTCTGCCTGAGAGCCCCTTGATTTCAGAATTATAATAATTCTGAGGGAGGGGGGTCTACATTCTTTCATTCCAAGGGAGGCTCCTGCCCTCCCTAGCAGACACCAAAACCGAGACATCGGATGAAAATAAAACACAAATGCAGCAATATTATATCTGAGAACTGTTTATTAGTACAAAAAAAGGTAAGTGTTCCTACCTGACGGGGGTAGATAAAGAAGCATAGAGGGAAAAAGAGAGACAGAGAAAGAAACAGAAGAGAGGGACAGCGTTAACCGTAGGAGCCCTGGCGCTCTGTCAGCCTCGGCTTGTCTGGCAGACAGGGCGCTCCTGCTGCGAACCGTGGTGCGTCTCCGTAGCTCCCATGGCGGGCTGGGCATGATTTCCAAACAGCAGCAGTCTGTGTGTCCCTTCCATCGGCGGGGAGCAGGATGTGCTGTGGCTATGGGCGCGCTCTTGGAGCAGCCGCGGGATGTCAGTGTCGGGGTGCCACAGCTGCGGGCTGGGCTGGCTGCGGCTGCCCCGCTCCCTCGGGGAGGCAGCGGAGTGCGAGGTCGTCCCGGTGGTGAGCTGGCTCGTGGAAAAGGTGAAGCAGGGCAAAGCAGGCGCGGGTAGGGAAGCAGGACCCCAGGGAGAAAAAGCGAGAGAGGGGGAAGAGAGGCAAGACAACCCTCCGAGTCAGCCCGTGATGACTCCAAGAAATGTAAAGCAAAAATAGCTGGCGTTGTGTCGCAGCTATCTGCTTTTATGTGCAAAGGCTCCTCCCGCAGCCCGACTTCACGGTCATTTTTGACGGGCTTTCTTTGCGGGTGTCATGGCATTTGCCCCCACCTGCCTGTGGGGGACTTCGCTCACAGTCCGCTCCTGGACGTTCTCTCTGCCCTGATGGGCTGTCAGGAGAAGCCTCTCCTGGGACTGGGCTGTTGCACATGTACAGCCCTTGCAGGAATCCTTCGCCTCATGTGTAACATACGTTGAGGCATAAATAAAAATCAGATCGGTTCCTCTCAAGGAAGTTTCTTTCATCCTTCTGAATAAGGCCTATAACTGGGCTAGCTGGATCAAATAATGAACCTTTGGCTGTGCCACAGATGCAGGAAATAGCCAGCCTGTTAGAGCAACTGTTTTGAATGAATGCAATAGGTCCACCTTGAATCTTGCAAAACCACCTCCAAACTAAGAACAGGAAGTGACAGTAAAGTTCAGTCCCATTTGTCATTCCAGTCAGTGAATGAGTGAAGGGCTCTAAGAGCCACTTGCTTCAGAGTCTCTTACACCACTTACTTTATAGAGATCAATTTTTAAGCCATGAGTTTGATCTCAGGTGTGAATTTTGCGTTTTGTTATGTTCCTGTTACAGTAGTTTGGCCACTTCTCAGAGACCAGTTTGGATAGTGGCAACTTGTGGAACTGCAAGATGTCACGAATCAAAGGTAACAAACTAAAGACTTTTTTTTCCCCCTGCACATGAATTGGCAGTGTCAGAAACAACAGCAGTACAGCCAGGCCTTTGACCTCACACGCAAGGCCTGAGGAATAAATCCATCAGCTTGTTTAGTTGTTTTGCTGGTTTTTGTCTCTGCTGTACTTTGTATTTTGGAATTAGTTTTTTTTTCCAATGGGCTGGTATAAAGAATAATTAATGTAGGTCCATTAAATCAACTTGTGAAATGCTGGCTAAAAGCATCAAAATGCTATGTCAAACTAAGGTAGTAATTTATCACAGTCCCTGCTCATTTGCTGGAGCATTCAGGTTGTTTGAGATAGAAACCCTGGCAGACACTCAGACATTCATCTACCAGTAAAATTCAGTTTTCTCTGTGTTAATTGGAACAGGCATTTTGAGGGTCAGACCTACATCAGAAAGTTCAAGATCATGCACTGGTGATACGAAAAGTTGATTTTTTTGGGTCAACTCAGACTCTTCCTTTAGTTCAACATTCCTCCCATTTTTATAACTATATGTCATGTCCAAGTAACTCTGAGGTAGAAACACAGACTGGACAAGTCTGATTTTATTTCCATGGATAATCATCTTCAAAGAAAATTATCAGCAGATTGGTTGATCAATGGGCTCCAAACACCACTACTAAAACAAAACAGTGCTCTGTGCAATTTTCTTTTTTT